AAAGGTCATTCTACCTAATATTATTTATTTTGAAACGTGAGATACGGCAGAGTACACAAAAATTAAAAAATAATTTTTTGTTAATTTTAATGATCCAAAATTATAGCTCATTGTGCAACATCTATATTATTTACGCAGATACGGGCGTTTTGAGCTTAGGCCATTTCCGAAGCTAAAAATTTTGAATTTTTTAACAATGTTATAGCATCCTAGTCCTTAAAGAAATATAATGGACTGTTTGGATAGTTATTCTAATCGTTGGTTTTTTTTAACCGTCATGCAGGGCATAGTACACGAAATTTTAAAAAAATTTGTATGAATTTTGATGATCTGAAATTATTGCTCATTTTACAACATCTTTATTATTCAGGAAGATGCGGGGGATTAAAGTTTATACCATTTCATGAAACGAATTTTTTGAATTTTGATATTGCCATAATTGTAGTCGTTTGTAGTAATAAATATAAGTGAACTGTCTGAAAGCTTATCTTACTTTTTTAAATTACTTTATAAGCATGGGCCAGGGCAGGGTATACACAAAAAAAAAAAAAAAGAAAAGAAAATTAACACCCAAATGGTAAAACAATAACGCTTAGAGGGGTTCCCGGTGCTCTCGCTCAGCGCGGCTACTTAGCACTGAGCCATCGGCGAGCCACAGCTCGCAAGCGCATGCATCGCGGTACTTTTTACTTTACTTTCGGCCGATCTCTTGCTCCTTGCCGATCCTCACCGTGTGCACCTACACACGAAAACGGTGGAGGGGCTTTTTTGGGGGGGGGAGGTCAGGTGGGGGTCGCGCTCCAACATGTATATATGTGTACGGGGGGAGCAGTATCTTCTTCCTCCATAACATGTATACAATATAATATATAGCCGCGCGGCTCAGGAAAGAGATATATATACCCACGGCCTTTCTCCGCGGAACATATGTATTTGTATACGATGCCCCCCCGGCACTCTCCGGTGACACTGGCCGTATAATTCTCGCTCCAAAAACGCTGTATTATTCTTTATATATATTTTTAATAATGTACCCACCCATGAGTACACATGCTTTATTTATTGTGGCCCAACTACAAACGCGTACACATATATTTGATCTCGACGATGGCCGTAATTTGTTGACCGGCGCAACTTTGACGTAAATAATGTAATTACGGTGTACGTGGATGTAAAACACAATTGCCGAGCGAGAAAAGATAGGAGACAGGGAGCACACGCATACACATTGTATATTATTTTTGTTAACTGTAAAAAACGCGCCAACTTTCTAAAATTTATATAAGTCCGTTGCTCACATTTATATATGTATATATAGCGTTGCGAGGAGCCGTTTTGTCGTGTGTTTATTACACCGATGCGTGCGCTATGCCTCTCTATATAAACAACGACTTTTTCTTCGTCAAACAACACACATCGAGACGCGCGAAACTTTATTCGTCAATCGCAGAGCAGATCTCTTTGTTGTTGAACATCATATACATTTTTTTGTTTGTTTGTTTTTTTTTTTTTATCACGCAATAGGTCGTGCGATGTACACCTATACCACCACATGGTCCGAAAGTTGATTATTGCGCAATGGTCTCGTTAATATTTTAATCTCGATGGTTTATTTCCAGCTGGCTTTTCTTCCCCTCGTGTACACGCATACACACATATACACATACACAAATGTTAATTAACGCGTACACACGCGGAAACTCAAATAAACAATTTCAAGATAGACTTTCTCGTTGTCGCGTGTGCGAACGACGCGCTCCTCAATTTCACATGGGCGCACATCTATCCGCCGTACAATGCGCGACGAGGCCCAGCATCCACTTGGCTTATCAGTAATTTAATACTATATGTCGTTTATGTAACCGCGTTTACCGTGTACCACCACCACCCCCTCCACACACTAATATTGTAAGTTTAGCGCGCGGACGCGGGGGGGGGGGGGGCATAAACTTGGCTTATTTATTGCGCGCATATACTTACAAGCTTCCTCAATTAAACCGGCTCCCAGTCGAGCCTGTCGATGATAATTAATAAACGTCTCTTAAAAATTAGGTGCGCACCTATAAAGGTACTCGCGCGCCTGCGTGTGGGTGAACAATTTATATATATCCTTGGCTTCGGGCGGCACTTTGGAGCCGCGCAGAGAGAAATCGAAAAGCTTTTCCTGTATACATATGTATGCACGTGATGCAAATGCACCAGTTGGTGTATTATATACACGGGACTTTCTTTAATCGCGGCGATTATACTCTCGCGGGAGAGTGTGTTTTCGCACAATGAGCCGCGCAGCTTGCGAATAATCGGCGTGCGCCGTGCTTGACATTTTTCCAATTTTCCCGCGATTCCATTGCACGCGCGTGTATACATATACGTATCGCTTTTGCGTTATTTTGTGCATATATGTATACGCGTGCATTGTTTGTACGAGAGGAGAGCTATTGAATGCGCCCATTGGTTTCCCATCAAGTGAAAAACGGGAACGGGGGAAAGAGAAATTCGCGGATGAAGCTTGGAAACGGAAAAATAAAAATCCAACGGACTCACCTGCACAGTCGTGAGTATATTTTATAATGGGCCCTCTCTCATCGCGGGTCCCCATATTTTGTTGTTGGATTTATTATCGCTCGTGTATATATACACAATGTCTTTCTCGAATTCAATGCGTGTATATATATACATGACTGACGGATCGATACATACGTGCGTCTCTATTATTAGCAACAATGTTGCATTTGAATAATTTATGGGGGACACCGCAGAGGCAGTGGG